GGGTTACCTCTTCAGAGGGGGGAATGTTGGAGGAGAGAGTGGGCATGGATTTGATCAAAACACCTTATATGCATGTATGAAATTCTCAATAAAGTTTTTGTAAAAAATTTAAAAAAAAAGAAAATATTAACATGTTCTCTTTGAGGGGAAAAATTGTGAGTGTATTCTATCCTCTGTGCTAGAACTTCTCTGAATTGTCTAGGTCTTTATGATTTTTGTTACCAAAAAGTAATAGTCATTTATATTTTGGGAAAAAAAGTTTAAAACTTTTAAAAGTTAGTTTCTTAAAAAAACTATTTTTATTTTATGTGTATGAATGTTTGTCTGCATGTATGTATGTGCACCACATACATGCCTGGTGCCCACAGAGGCCAGAAGAAGGTACCAGGTCTCCTGGAATTGGGGTTACAGATTCTTGTGAGCCACCACATGGGTGTTGGGAACTGAACCTGAGTCCTCCTTTGCAAGAGCAGCCAGTGCTCTGAATTTCTGAGCTATCTCTCCATCCTAAAATGTTAGTTATTTTAAGCATATTATATTTTCCCATCAAAATAATGAAGGTTTTCTTTATTTTCTGCAGGGATTAATTTATTAGTCACCAATAATCCCCTTGGCTACTAAATAATAACTTAGCTTGTAAGATGAATGCATGTAAAAAGTCATTCAATGCAGACAAAAATCGCTTGCAAACACCCTACATTAACTCTTATTTTCACTGAAATCTTTTTAGCAAGCTTACAATTAGCCAAAGTCACAATGAGGCCACAGGGGCATCACTAAATGAAAGCCATGGGCATCAATGAAACCTCATCTTTGACAGTTACAATTTGCCAGCAAATTACTACTGATGAGTAAATACAGGCACTCCTTAACTTCATCAGTGTTTGACTGATGACTACCATAAACACACAAATAACAGAGTTGAGGGCTGGTTCAAGTTTTGCCCCAACTTATTCTCTGCTCTGCTGTTTATCTGCCCCCCCAGAGAGGGACTGTGAGGCCAGGTTTCCATCAATCACACATGGGAAGACCACAAGTTCTCACAAAGATGGGAGAAAGGAAAGGGCTTCCTGAGTCCCCATGGTTCCAAACTTCCTGTAGAAACAGCTATAAACCAGGCCAGCCCTCAAAGCTACAAGATAGGTAAGCAATAGTTTTTCTTCACCCAGAATGACAAGTCACATCCATCTTAACAAACAAGAAGATACCAAGGGTGGTATTTGTTATTTCAATAATCAGATTGATCACAACATGTTAGCAAACAGCTAATTAAGTGAGTGCATAAAAGAGGTCAAGGAAATCACAACACAGACCACTTCTGTGCTTATTCTGCATTCTTTCCTGAACTGACAATGTCAGCTAGAAGCAGTGTAACAGTCCAAGTAAAGGGTACTACTTATTAGGTGAAGAGAATGAATTATAGAATGATACATATTTCTCCTTAGACCAGGTGAGATATACGATTCTTTATTGCTAAAGAAACGCCATAGTTAATCCTTTCACATAGTACAGTAACTTACACCAAACAAAATGTTAGCTGCAGTGATCCTGGGCCATGTGGCTTAATAAAGGCACAAATGTCCTTTCCCACTGCTGATGTGGAACTAATTCACAAAGTATTATTCAAAATGAGGAGGACATACTATATTAAAACACACAAACAGTATTTTTGAATGGCATAATTTGATGGCTGCACAAAAATTTTCCTTTTAAAACAAATCATGGGCTGGAGAGATGGTTCAGTGGTTAAGAGCACTGGCTGCTCTAGCAGAGGCCCTGGGTTTGATTCCCAGTAGGCACATGGCAGTTAACAAATGTCCATAACTCCAGTTCCAGGGAAATCTGATGCCCCCTTCTGACCTCCACAGGCACTGCACAACACTGACCTCCGTGGGCACTGCAAAACATGGGTGCACTCACATGCACGCAATACATTCATACACATAAAATAAAAATAATATTTAAAAAATTATGATGAGATTAAATAAGACAGATGGGTGCACTTACCTTCTTGGCTAAAACCTGAGAGTATTCAATATCCAGTTCATAGAGCGTCTCAATGTGGTCACTGGTAAATGCTATTGGAACCAAAAGGATATTCTTCCTCCCCCTCTCACAAAGCCCTTGGATAGCCTCATCTGTTTGAGGACCCAACCAGGGGATTGGACCAACCTGAGAAAGGAGGATGAATGCAGAAATGGAACATTTCTTCTGACATGTCTATAACATATCAACCCCCCAACACATACACAGACACAGAGTATTCATTCCTGCTCACTAGGCTGAGAGCCACTCTTATACCTCCTTCAATGAGTTTAAGTATTTGCACACTGACACTTGAATCCTTCTAGAAGTTGACCTAATATAGTTTCTGTCATTAAAACTATAAATAAAATATCAAAACCTGTGGAACCTCCCATCCAGTCACTCCATTTCCCCTTCTATATTACTTGCTCTTTGCAGAATTCTTTCTGCCCATGAGGTGCTATCAGGTTATAGACTAGCTTGTTTACATAAAAGAGCCCAATCCACCCATTTTATAAATAACTCCTAAAACAGATTTCAAGAGCTGATTGCCTACAAATGTATGGAGAGCACCTACCTTGGACTGCCAAACCAGTCTGTAGGAGTTGGAGTAACCCAGCCTTTCCATGACCTTGTGGACAGTGGCACCTACCTCCTGGGGATAGGGGTCCCCTCTGTTGACAGCCTACATAGAGACATAATGATATTCTATCACCAACACTGTGAAGGGCATCAAAAGCCTCTGGCTATGCAGTGATAGGGCCTCTCTTTCTGTCTCCTGCACTAGTGACAATTTTAGCAGTCCTAGAAATTCCTTCATTCCATTCCTTCACTGGCCAAAGATCACTGCCCTCAGTCAGCTCCAAGATCCCAAAGAAGATGTAAAATTCTAGGCGCCATGTTATTTGTAGGAGATGGACAAGGACTGACTACAGAGGTAGTGGGGTGAATGGCAGACTTCTGGGCAGGAACTCACAATGTGCAGAACTGCTGAGTTAACTCTAAACACTAAAGGAAGAAGAGGTGGAAAGACACAATTCCTACTACAAACTCAAGAATATGAGCTGTACCGTCTACTTTTTCTCTCCCCATCCTTCCCTGACAACAGATAGGGAACATCCTTCCCAGATAAATGATTGTTTGCATAGCATGTGTTTGATACGTATTCCTGACTCAGACTATTAATACTTTTGAAAACATTCAGTATAAGTTTTGTTTTAATATTTTGTAGTGCACTGATCCCCTGGTTCCTTCACCCTGCTTTATGATGTTTACCTCCTAATCTACCCAACTATTTTGTTGTGCATTATGTACCATCTTTTCCTGGCACTAAATAGGGACAAAGACCTTTGTCTGTTTTCTTCATTCCCATATCCTATGATAGAACAGTATCTGTTGTGCATAATAGGAGCTCATAAATACTATATTGGTGACATGAAATACTGATAAACTCCTTTATGATATTACTAGTGACTAAATAGTCATTAGAAACATAAATGTAGAAGGAATGAAAGAAATAGAGAGTTGCCTTTGGTACAGTAGAGTAGCAACTGTTACAGGCAACATCTACTGATGGCAAGAGGTGGCAAGGCAGCACCTGGAATGTTCTAGTGTGAATGTTTGTCTGCTCTCTCAGGAGCTCCACTCTGGCACCCTGGGTCTCATCACACCTAGGATGGACCTGAAAAAAGGTCATGACACCAGAAAGGACTATGATCAGGTTAAAATGAAAGAGGCAGGCTTCGGACTGGAGAAATTTATCTTCAGAACCGCTACCCAAAGTAGCAGCTGAGTTGCACAGGGCTTGACTCTGTTGACCACCAGGTGGCAATATGGAGCAACAAACAGAGTAACCACAACATGAGGTTGGCTCTATTTAACATGCAGTTCAAATCTGATCATACCTAAGAAAATGTAAACCTTCACCTCTCTGGTTTGGAATGTAGTGTTCTTAGGACAGAATACTAGTTCCAGGCTGATGAAATTGGGTAATTATTTCAAGCCTTATTGTGTATCATACAGCACACTAGCATGACCCTTCCATGTTTCCTGAAATCCAACAGTCATGGCACAGATAGTGGTATTTTAATGAACAAACTACTATAACGTGATGACTTAAGGAACAACTGGATCACAACCTGCTATGCTATATACTCACTGGTCAAGCTGTGACCCCTAGTCTTAGCAAATTAGAAACTGCAAAGGCTTCCTGGAATTCAAATGGTTCCTACCAAGTCTTGAGGATAGAAGAACCAGGACGGAGGACAGCATGCCAGGGTGAATGGAGCTGGCAGTACAGTTCAGCACACTGAAACTACAGGCTGAGCTCCTTCCACACAGCAGGCAAAGCGCACTTCTTTTAGCTGATTCACTTTTTAGGAATTCTCTGAATACATTTTTTTTTCAGTTATCATTTTAAAGAGGGTTACTAATAAGAGATCTATTTGTAATATTATAAGTTGAATTAATTGCTGGGAAGTTTCAAGAACTGAGTCTAAGGGCTGGATAGATGGTTCAAAGCAATGACTTGTTAAAAGCACTGACTGCTCTTGTAGAGGACCTGGGTTCGAATACCAGTACCCACATGGCAGCTAACAACCATCTGTAACTCCAGTTCCAGATTACCAACAAAATGTTCTTACTTACAGACATTGGCAGTGAGTGGGCAGAAAACAGGATGACGACTTCACTTCTCTTCTCCAGTGGAAAATGGTCCAGTTCCTTCAAAATGTGGTCTGCAAAGCACTGAGGGGATTCCAAGAATGGGGAAGGGGAAGTGAAAGAAAGCAAGGCAAGGAAGAAAAGCATTTCAGAAATGAGAACTATACCAAAAATCTCAGAGCAGCCCTCAAAAATCTGGAACTCTCCTTTTTTATATTAAAAAGATTGAAAACAGTACAGGTCTCTTTGCTTTGGCTCATCTTCAAAATGGATCAGAATGTTGCAGGGCCTAGGGAATTTGATGGGAAACTTCTAAAGCCCACTAATGGCTCATTGCAAATGAATGCTGAGGCTCTGCTTCCCCTCGGGAAGAGCAGGGCACATTTCCAGATGGAAAGGAAACACAGATGGGAAGAAGTTGTTTTAAGACCTCTCATTTGCTCTGTTAGCAGTAACGCAGCTTACAGGGTCTTTCTAAATCTTCCTCACTTTGGCATTCAGACATATCACATTAAGACACATTAGCCAGAAATAGGAGAGAAATATCAAAATCTTCTATTTTTATGACATGTTTCTAGGAGTCTAGGATCTGCATGAAGGCAATCTTTCTCACAACCTCCATAATGACAGATGAGACAGGCTGTACAACCCCCATTAAATGCAGAGAGGGAGAAAAGATGTGGCGGACGTGTGGGCCACATAGCCACATGTGTGAATGTGGACTAGAATTCAGGCCCTGCTACCTTCAAACCTCTGTCCACCAGACCTTGTCTAGTTGGCACTTGCTGATTCACGTGGGTAGGTGCTGAAACATCAGATCTGAAGACGTTCTCTTTCATCTCCCACTGAATCATTCCTTGTCATTTAGCTTATAAGGGAAATTCTACAAAGGGCAGCCATGGGTCAACTGATAAAACTGGAATGCGAATGGAAATTGGAGAGAAGTTGAGTATTGATGTTAAATTTACTGATGTGGAATGTTGTGCTATAATTATGTTAAGAGACCAATTCTGGCCTCAAGATATATACTCAAGCATTCATGTCTAGAAGGTGGTGATATATACACACACTCACACACACACACACATACACATATACACACACACATACACACACACACACATATTCATACACATCTGCTCTCAACCTGCTCTCAAGCAGTTCTGATAATATATATATTATAACTATACAGACAGACACATAATATAAAATTTTCCAATATATAACATATATTACATGCATCTATTATATATTATGTATATTACAATATGTATATATTATATAGAGACATATATATATACACATACACGTACACAGAACATGTAAATTACAAAGCAAATGAGACAAAAGTTAACATGTGAATACAGATGAGAATTCCTTATACTATTTTTAAAGATCTTATTTTATTTTTCATTATGTGTATGTGTGTGGCTATGTGTGGGTATGTGCATGTGAGTACAGGTGCTTGCAGAGTACAGAAGAGAGTGTCAGATCTCCTGGAGCTGGAGTTACAGGCAACTGTGAGCTGCCTGACATGAGTGCTGGGAACCAAACTTGAGTCCTCTCCAAGAGCAGTATGTGATCTTAACTGCTGAGCCATCTCTTTGGCCCCTTATACTATTCTTAGTCTTGTAACTATTTTGCATTTCTTAAATTAGTTCCAATTTTAAAAAATTAAAGAACAACATAACGGAATCATGCATATTTGCACATTTTCCTTGTTCGGTCAAGGAAACACATGAACATTTCCAGTGTTCAGTCAGTATTAACTATTCCCTAAGAATACTGAGATACTAATCATTTGAGAACTCACAAACTTTGGTAAGTAAATATCCTAATGTAAAAATAAGGTCTCTCTTTCTCTCTCTGTCTCTGTCTCTCTCTCTCCCCCCCTTCCCTCTCTCTCTCCCTCCCTCCCTCCTTCTTCCCTAGATAGTAAATGTGATAACAGTAATAATATCTGACACAAACAAAAAAGCTGTATTTTTGACGGCCTTTACAGTGTTTAGAAAGCAACACTGCCCAGAAAAGATTATTTTTGGAGAATAGCCTAGATAAGGAGGTGACTGCAAAGTTTATGAAGGAGCTTGGAACATAAATTTACTGCAATTATTCCAACAGCTAGGTAAACATTAGAAAAATGGTAATAAAACTACTTTGAGCAACTACTACTACAGTAAGTAGTAATGTGGATTAAAGACAATGTTTTTGTTGAGTTTAGGTTAGAGCTTCAGGGGTTTGGTCCCCGCTTCCTTTCCTTTCCTTTTCTCAGCTTGTAAAATTGCAAGCAAGAACACAATTCCTTGATGTTTACAAGGTTCTATGCCATCTTCAAAACTCAGGCATCACAGGCAAACAGAAGTGCTACTGAAACCACCTAAAACCCATCCTCCATTTTTCTGTGTGCAGGCCCTGTGCAAAATGAAAGAGGCCAGGCCTCTCAGAGCCTTCAATCACACCATCCAGGAGGGTGGATAAATGCCTCTAAAATTCCCTTTCATTTTATGAACAGAGACTTCCTCAGTTAAGAGACCTTTCCATCTTTCTGCTTTCCCCCTTTTCAAAGGGCTGAATTTTAATGCAAATCTAATTACTCCCTCGATCAGGGCAGGCAGATGCTGTGCAGATCCCTCACTCCCTGTGCCACATGGCAGCTCAGACCTGAAACATCCCTCCTTCCCTGCCACAGGCTCCAAGAGAAGCAGCCCGGCACTTGGGTGCTCCAGCCAGCACAGGCTGGACCCAGGAGAGCAGTGGAAGGCACACAGTCCACAGGGACAGCCATCTAGTGAATCTCTTTCTTTCCAATTTTGACTTTAAACTGGACTTCAACCCACGTGTTAACCCTTTAAGTGCCTGCAGGACACTGCTCAGGGGAGAGCAAGCTTGATTTTAATAACATCTAGCACCGTCTAGTGGTCACAGGTTTTAAGTGTCACTAGTCTTTTTAAATTAACTGTTTTACTAGAGATAACAGATTAAAGAATAAAAAACAGAGTGAAATCCAAATTACTTCATATTTCTCCTACCTAAAACAACTCAAAAGCAGAAACTTCTACTGACTCCAAAAACCTATTTGAATGACTTAGGGCAATATTTTACCAACTGCACTCTCCAGGCTAAAAAGAAAAATTAAAATAACATGAATTCAAAGCTACTGGTTTTAAAATTTTAATTTAAATGAGTCTCCTAAAAATCAAGCATAGATTAACATGACTATTATAAAGATAAGTCTTCAGGAAAAATGTGAAACTTCTTTTAATCTATGTAACTTTCCTATTGTTAAAATGTTAAATTTATTTTCATGTTTCATAACATGGCACAATTTTATTTTATGTTTTTAAGACAGAGTCTCACTATGTAACCCTGGCTCACAATATAGATGAGACTGGCCTCAAACTCAGAGACTCACCTGCCTCTGCCTCCCAAGTGCTGTGATTAAACGTCTGTGCTACCATGCCCGGCTGAAAAATAAAAAATTTACAGGTTGTGCTAACGTCTCCCTGTAGCCCCAGCTGTCCTGGACCTTACTATGCAGACCAGGTTGGCCTTGAATTCACAGAGATCTGCCTGCCTCTGCCTCCCAAGTGCTGGGACTACAGGCATGCGCCACCACTCCCAACTGAGGGTCTAGATATCTTTATTTCTTTAATCCTTTGATATTTTAAAGGATTTGGAAAACAGAGAATTTAAGTTATTTGTTGGTCATTCAATCTATGTATGTGAATTAATTGAAACAGTATGCATTAATATAATCTTTAATGTTCTTCTGGTTACTGAGAAATACAAAACTCAAAAGCTAATTGTTATGATACAGTACTAAATCATATTAATCTGAGGAAAGAAGGATATAGCCTTTCTTTTTATAAATTTAAACTCCACATGTTCTCACTTTATTTTAATATTTTATTATTTTTATTTTATGTGTATGAGTGTATTGCCTGCATGTATGTGAGTGCACCCGTGTTGTGCAATGCCTCGGAGGTCAGAAGAGGGCTGGATTCCTTTGGAAATGGAATTAAGGATGGTTCGTAGCCACCATGTGGGTGCTGGGAATCGAACCCAGGTCCTCTGAAAGAGCAATCAGTGCTCTTAACTGCTGAGCCATCTCTCCAGCCCCGGAAACAGCCTTTTTAAACTTAAATTTTATTTTCACTTTTCATAATCAGTCCCAAATTGAATCATTTTGTTTTTAATTCCAGCACAAAATTTAAGCAAGAGAATGGCAGGTTTCAGAAGGACACTTCAAGCCAGGCAGGAACAGAAGCTGGCTCACACTAGGTACTGGGGTGACAGGCCGCTGCAGGTCACTGCTTACCTGGATGAGGAGGGGGTGCGTGGGCCACCTGTCAATTGTGCTCCACTTCATGGTGGGCTTCCTTCCCACCTCATTATAGTATCTGTAAATGGCATTTAAGCTGCTGCCTGAAATACAGAGGGGGCCACTTAGTAGACATGTTTGATTATGATGAAAATAAGACACACACTAGTAAAGGCAGTAATTGTTAAGTTCAAAGTCGGCAGCTGCTTCTACACAGAAACCTAGTCTAATTACAATCTTTTCAATACTCTGGAATGCATATAGATTTAACTACCCTGCAAATGAAGATCACCAAAGAGCGATCAATTTCAACAGACCTGCAAAGATTATTGAGGCCATTTCTACAGAGAAATGTGAAGGCTGCTGGTATATGAAATATAAGCAGTTGTGGACTTGCACAGAGTAAGTCTTAAAATGGAGAACATGTGGGGAAAAAAAATCCCACTGTGATGAAAATCAGCCCCATTACAGGCAATGTAGGGGGTGAGAAAGAAAGTCCAAGGGAGACAGGCATTATCCAGCACGCTAATTCAGGCATAGTTTTTTTCTAGCACAGTTGTTTTCTGGTATTTTCCTTTACAGTTGTTTTATTTTACCAAGTTATAATGTTAGTGTATATATATAATTTCACAACTAGAGTATTTGGGGGCTTTTTCACTTAATATTACACACTAAATATTTTCCAAGTTTCAATGGAAGCTTTAGATCCACCCTCTCTAATGGTGTCATCATAAGTCATGTAGCCTATTGTGGGTTCTATACCTTCAACAAAATTTCCATCATTCCCTAGAACAAATTAAATAAACATCAATGTAACAACCTGTATGTCTTTTCAATTTTTTTGGATTTATTTTTATTTTATGTGTATGAGTGTTTTGCCTGGATATAAGTGCACGCATACTGTGCAATGTCTGCAGAGGCCAGAAAAAAGACACTGGATCCTCTGGAACTGGAGCTACAAATGATTGTTAGCCACCATATAGGTGCTGGGAACTGAAACTCAGGTCTTCTGCAAGAGCAGCCAGTACTCTTAACCCCTGAGTCATCTCTCCAGCTCCCAAAACTTGAAAGGCAGAAATCAGGAAAATTCAAAGCCAGAAGACAGCTCATATACTAACCCAAAAGAACTTTTCCCTGGCCTAGGGAGGCTGACATTAGGAGTCAAACCCTAACCCTCTGAAACCAATCCTAACAGGGACTTCTTACTCCATTCTACCATACAGCAAATTTCAACATAACCCGATGCTTCCCACCACCAGTCTCCTGGGTTCCCTACTATAGGAATTACCTGTTAAGTTTCCAGTTTCAAAGCCTATTCAGGACAGAGCCATGGTTTAACTCAAATGTATACTTAGGCTAAGAGTCAACTTTCAAAAGCTAAATGGGCTCAATTTTGGTGAGTAGATTATAGCAAATTAAAATAATCCAAATTTGGGAGTCAAAAATAATCTCAATAGGGGTAGGAGTTGGAGAGATGACTCCATGGTTTAGAGCACTGGCTGCTCTTGCACTGGCTGCTCTTGCAGAGGATCTGAATTGGATTCCTAACATCTACAGGACATCTCATAACTATCCATAACTTCAGTTCCAGGGAATCCAACAGCCTCTTCTTGCCTCTGTGGCACTGCACGCACATGCAAGTAAAACATATCATAAAGTAAAAATAAATAATTTTTTTCAATCTCTGAAGAAACCAAAGTAGTAGCATTGTATTCACTCTGCAGACTTCACTGTAACAGGTTAGTATCATTTTCTGATGTACAAAAGGGCTTCTGGGGGCCACATTAGCTCTCTCATATCAGTGGACAACATTTAATGAACTATGAGAGTCATTAGGAAGGGGAGAATATAAGTGAGAAAGATGCTATGAGAAACACAGCAAACACAGTACTGTCTAAAAGACACACAGTGAGGGGACACTCTAGTGGCTCAAAGAATAAGCATGTTTCCCAAAGGCTTTCACACCTTAGAAGTACAGGTATTGTCCTTACATATGAGCTACACCAGAGAAAAACTGAGTGCGCCCCCAGCTCTGATCATACACCAAGAACCAGCCATGACGTAAAATTGGTTGATCTGCTGCCATATAAATGATTTAATGTGCATAATTTTGAGGGCAGACATCTATATGCTGAGGTATATTTTGCAAAGCAAGACAAAAATATACCTTGAAAATTCTAAGATCTGACTCATTCTTTTATTTTATTTTTTTTTTACTTTTTGTTTTTTGTTTACCAAATATTTTAAAGCTCTAATAGATTTTCAAAATAAATCACAATTCAA